AATAAAGACTTCAGTGGCACCAACAATGGAACAAAAATATAAATATTTAAAATTCTGACCTGCTACACAATAGGCTCATTTTATTAGCAGGACAGTCTTTGGGAAAATACTTCAGATATATTGCTGTGGAAATAGCATAATTACAGAATAATATTTTATAGTACTATAAGCTTAGTAACAATTCAAGACATTTTAAAAACTATTTCAGTTTTTATGAACTAAAGAAGTCTCATAGCTTTGAAAAAAATTAGTTTTCAAAGTGTAGAAACTTATTTGTCAGTTTAATTTCTGCATGTGGCCCTGTGTATTTAATAAAGAAAAATATAACTACCAGATGTTTTTAGTATTAATAAGTGAAGTTAAATCGAGGATATTTAAAAACCTTTCACTTACAAACAGGTTTCATGTCACTTTTTATGACAATGGAAAATATAAAAACCTTTAAAGATAATATTTTTTCTATTAGTATATATCAACATACAGTTATAATTTTCTATCAACTTCCCTAGTTTTGAGGACAATGTTTGCCCTGGAAAGATGATGAGAATAGTTGACAAACCTCAACAATTTTGATCACTATTCAGTAAAAGACATTTTGGCATTTATAACTGCTTATTATTTTTTAAAATATAATTTGGAGAGAAAAATGTTAATTATTTTTGGGCAGGGACTAAAGAAACCCCAGTGAGACATTCTGCAGAGAGGTCTTTGGTTAGTATAACATCTGACCTTCTATATCTTTGGAAATCATGCAACTTGGCTAATGTAGCCCTTAAAGAATTAATCAAGCAGATTGTTAGGCCCTAGTTACAGTGGAGCCAGCCAATTATGAGTTGCTCAGAAATTCATCACTGGCATGTCCAACCACATTTTCCCACATAAAGATTAGAGGAAATATGTGGAAACAGGGCCCATTCCCACCCCAGCACAGCTACACTACGTGTTCAGTGAAACAAATGTCAACACAGTTTTGCCTTAGTGAAACAATTTAAGTTAAAACCAAACTAGGGATTTTTATTTTCAAACACCCTCCTGAATTCAGAGCACTAAAGTCACATGCCACAAGCCTGAATTCATCAGTAAGTGACTGAAATCCCTAAAGACCAGCACTATCTTTTCACTGTTGTGATAACATCCTCCCAAGGCTTACTAAGAAGAAAGCTTTGCTTGCAATAGAGGAGAGGGGCCAGAGTAGATGAAGACTGGTTCTCTAAGGAGAGGGCAGTGCTGCTCTTACATAAAGAAGCTCCTTTCAGATAAGCAGAATCAGATTCCAGTTCATTTGGCTTGCTGGCTACCCTTACTTTGAACTCTCATATTTAACCCAGCAGGCTTCAAAGCAGGTGAGAAAATGACCTACCACTTAAAAGCAACTTTTCCTTTTTCAGGAATTCTGACCTTGGAGAACATCAGCTCTAATATCAGCACATTCCACACCTCCAGGGATTTACGCAATTTTTTTCATTGCTCTGTGTCCAATGTCGGGCTAAATTTTATCTCAGCCAGGAAAGAAATCAGAAAAAAAAGTCCTAACTCACTGAAAATGAAGTCTTATTCGATATCACTTTATACCATACAAAAGGAGAAAGGGAACAAAAATCATGGACCATTCTAGTTTGTTTCCCTTCCATTTGTCAAAATCTTATATACAGTGAGGATAATTAAGAGTCATTTATCCCTAGTGCCTTGCTTCACAAAAAAGCAATTTTTGTTAACAAATACATCTTTACAAATTCAAATTGAATTTACTCTAGCATGTGAGCTAATACAAAAAGATATTAGATGAGGAAGAGACAATGGTAACAATGAAAGAAATTTAGGACATTTACTTAAATTGCTTTGCCTTACTAAACAGATGATAGTATGTTTCAAACAAAATTCTTCATTCATTTCTACTGTATTTGGCCATCAAATATCTGACTTAATTGAAAACCCTAACAGGCAGTTTGAAAATCTACCAGTAGGTTCTATTCTACAAGATAGTTTGCCATGCCTAGAATGTGAAACACTTATCCACTTTACATAAGGTACTGGAAGTACAGTACTCATAATATTGCTCAAATGGTTACACCACCATTTATATTGCAGTTTGTATGGGAAGTGCATTTGGAGTTTACTCTCAGGACATAGCTCCCAATAATGTGAAAAGGGGAGGGTTTCCTGCTAAGCTGCACTTTGGTGATAATGACAGTGACAGTGGTGATGACATCTAGTAGTCACCTGGTTTTTACTATGGGCAGATGCAGGTCTGAACACTTGACATATTTTAAATTCATTTTAATTCTCACACACACATGCACACACAAAACCTGTGAGATGGTACTGTTCTTATTTTACAGTGAGGGGGGGAAAAGGGTAAGCAACATACCCGACACTACACAGCTGATAAGTGTCAGGGCTGGAATTCAAAGAAAAGCAGCCTGGCTCCAGAGCCTACACTCACAACCACTCAGCAGTGCTGCCCTTCTCTCCTTGGAGAAGACGGTACTATCCAGGTGTTCTCAATTCCTCTTTTGGGGTACAGCAGAGCAGCGCTTCTCGTTTTCAAGTACCTATAAGATCACCTAGGGATCTTGGGCAATTCAGGAGTGTGGAGTGGTGCTTGAGGTTCTGCAGTGCTAACAAGCTCCCGGCCATCGATGGTGATGCTCCCAGTGCACAGACACACGGTGCTAAGTGGTGAAGAGGTAGGAGGTGAGCCTCTTGTTCCCTAGCCACTGGCTGGCCAGATGTTGAGTCAAAACATTATGTCTAGAAGCTGAGACTTCCATACCATACCATAATTATTTTCCATTAATTCTTTTTAAAAAATAATCACCAAGTTCTTTTTTGATTGATTGATTTTTTTTACAGAGATGGAGAAACACTGATTTTGTTGTTCCATTTATTTATGCATTCATAATGCATAAATTCTATGTGTCCTGACCAGGGACTGAATCAGCAACAATGGCATATCAGGACGCCACTCTAACCACCTGAGCCAGCCAGCCTGGACCATTTTCATTAGTCCTTAAATGAAACCTGCCCTGGAGCTTCTGTATACCAAATATTGGTTTGGAGATCATTTTAGTAAATACTTAGCTTTTAGGAACTTAAAATGCATATGTGAAGGCCATAGGGATTGACTGTAAAAGTTTACTGTCAGGCACATTTTTAACACTAACTATATCACCAACTATGTAAATACCAAAAGATAGTAAATAAATGCCTCTTCACTATTCATGAACTAGAATCACAATAAGTTAATAACTTTTGGCCTAAAAAAGAAGCTTCCAATTTAACATTATGATTATTTATTCTCAGACTCTGCTAGAGGGAGCGCTAAGGAGCTTGTGCATTATAATCTTAAAGCCTCTTCTAGTACATCAGTGGTCTCTTAGGGAGAGCCAGACACTATACTAATATTAACGAGCAGAGCAGACAGTGAGCACACTCCACATTCACTTTAGGCAGTACCTCATGGAAGTACACCACTAACAGCTGCCACATCTCTATTCCAGATTCCAGCTCTTCCTCCTAGCTCTGCCTCCTTCCCACTGTCCTGAGAGAAACCCAGTGTTGAAGTAGCTCTCCCATGGCTTGCCTGTGATCTCAAACATACAGCTGCATATTTTTCCCAGTTGTTACATGGATGGGGTTCCCTTTCTAGTCCATTTTTTCCCATGCCAGACTACACAGTAAGGTCATTTCAGTTTGAGATGCACTCACTCCCCACTCAGCACAACTGCAAACAACAGAGTTATGGTATGATCACCGAGCTTCCTTTTCACACTAAAAGAAAATAAGATAGTCAGTTTCCAACCCAAATATCTATAATCCCTGAACAACAGTGGAAAGTCATTCTTCTTGAAGCTTGACCCAAAATCAAGTGTGGTCTCAGACTCCTAGGCCTACAGCCAGTGGCAACTTAACACATTATACAGTTGACCTTCAGGGAAAAAGGGAAACCAGTGCTCTTTACTACTGGTGCCAGAAGAAAACCAACTAATCTTTAAGGCACAAAATAAACTCTTCTTAAGGCCGGAAAAGAAACTGTAAGGAAACAGGAATTTAGAATGGAGGTATTTAGAGAAAACTACAGAAATTACATTACCAAGTAAGGGCTAGTGTTTCGATGGCTCTTAGTGCTTTTCTATTTGGGAATAAATGAATTGTGATTTTCTTTTTGGGTGTGAACTCTTACTACTTGGTAAAAATGCAAAGAAGTACAAGAAAGACACATTTGTTAAAGGCTTAGAAACTTAAAGGGACTTATTTTTGGTAATTCTACTTTAAGCCAGTGATATTAATTTCCAACTTTACGTCAAAGAGTAAGTAATCATGAGATAGCCTCTCTAATACCAGTCCTTAAGTACTTCCTGGACCTGGATCGGGAAATGGGGAAGTAGTTTAAAAGCAAAACCCAAAACTTAAAATAAAGGTCTGTACATGGTTGTACAATACACTCAACTTTGGGGAAGGTCAATAAGAACAGGCAGATATAAAACCAGGGAAAAGCTTGAGTGAAGGGGCACACCTGCACCCGTGGCAAATGTCTGAGCTGTCCCATCTTAGCTACTTACTCTCCATCTTAGTCACGTTCTTAAATTTAAATTTCAGCAAATACTTAAAACTAATAATTTCATTTAAATTTTTAAAAATCAAAGCGCTTGTTTACAAAATAGGGACTTTTTTGAATGCCAAAGAAAATGCATTTAAAAGAACAGGATTATTCCTTAGTTAGTAATGAGTGCTATCTCTACCACCAAAAATTATCTACAAAGACCAACTTTATAATACTATACCACTGTATTCTTCAAACTTTGAAGCAACAAAAAATATAGCTCAAATCACCAAAAATTTATGTTTGATATGTTTATGGCAGCAACTTTACAAATCAATTCCTGTAATTTATTAAAACAAGTTTCACCCACTGCTCAACTGGTTGCATACAAACACATCAGAGAGAGTTTCTTGTGTGTTCACAGATACTCCACACAAGTCCTTGAGATCATACTTACAGCTTTAGCAAAAACCCCCATGATTTCAGGAAACTGGTGTGTGAGAAGAGCTATCATTGCTGAAGAGGAACACAGTCCTGCTGTGAAATGGATGAAAAAAGGAAGCTCCTTCTTTGGGTAAACAGAAACATGATGAAAGGCTGCAAGGGAGACAAGGTAGAAGTGGATTTTATTTCAGAATACAGTGTAAGTCAGCCTTAATATTTTCAAACAAAATCTGTTTTTAAAAACTAAAATGGAAATGAATTAAAAAAAAAGAACAAGCCTCTGGCCAAGCATGGAAGAAGAAAGTCATCCATAATTTATTCCGTATCCACAGCGTATTTACGTGGCCAGATACTATGCTGGGGACTGGGACTAGGGTGGTATCGTGGGAAAGAACATTGATTGTAAAGTCATGCTGAGGTGGGTTTGAAAACAAGCTTTGTCACTTATTAGCTGTGTGATCTTGAATAAGTTGCTAAACCCTCTATTAGTTGCTATGGAGTTGTTATGATGAACTTTGTAAGCCCTTAATAAATGTCAGTGATTATAATTCTTGCTCTTTGGGAGCTCAGAGACAAGTATAGTGAACAAGAGATGGACATATGGCTGGAAATTTCCCAAAACCATCAGTTACTAATTTTACCCAGTTATTCCATATGTGGCATTTCATTGAGCAGTATAAAAATCAAAGTAGAATACTAAAGCCCTAAGATTCTGAATATAAGTGAATTCCCTTGTCTTATTTTACCACATTTAAACATTTACACAGATATTCTTTAAATAATTGGATATTTCATTACCAATAGTATTTGAGTACTGATATTTTATTCAAAATTTGAACACACTTAATAACAATGTTGAGATGAGCCTATGACAATGCTTCTGCTTGGCACACAGTAGGTGCTCAATAAATGTCTGTTGAACTGAAAGCTACTCTGCATTTTCATTAGTCCAGAAGTTGACTGCTCAGAGCTGGACACAAACCCAGGAATTCCTGATGTAATATCCTACATAAGTAAGGGATGACTAATTCAGTGCTGAATCAAGGTCAGCTATAAATTTCACTTTTTAAACATAATGATTCATAGAGAATATTACACCTAAGTTTCCTTCAGTAGACATGATATTTTTATGTCTTATACTATATTCAAAAAGTATATACCCCAAACCAAGCTCATTAAAAATGCTAAAAATTTCCAGGTCCTTCAGTCATGTTTAAAGTGAAAGCACAACAGATCTAATTTTTTTTTAATTTAGAAACATCAGAGCTGTGAGCAACATGGTGCTTTCGGCACCCAAAACTAGCATTCCTTTCTGCCCCCTCCCACAGCCAGGAGAGGCCAACTTCTTCCAGCAAACCTAAAAACAATCATAGTATTTTCAAAGGCAGAGAACAAATACTTGTATACCAATGGTTACTATAATTGCTATCATGTGAGATACAGCAAAATTAATAATATTGATTAAACTGTATAGCATTTTATGTTTTAAAAAGTACTTTTTAATTTATATATTACTTTAAAATTGTGTTAATAACCCTAAGAGACAGTATTATTTATACTTTATAAGGTAGAAAACTGTATAGCTGTAAAACATAATTTCCTAAAATATGAGACCTAATAATTTATTTTTGCATTACTTTCTGTAGATTTGTTTGTCAGTCAGTGTTTGGCTAATACATCAATATAAGGAATGACTAGCACAGAAACACTCCCTTGGAAGTAAATTTCATCACTGGCTTGTAGAGGAAAATTTATCAGGAGGCATAAAAGACAACTAAATAGCTATGTGAACTAAGGGAATAGTTCAAGTCTGAACTTATGAGGTTCATAAGCAAATTCCAGAATGCTGTAAGTCATATCAAGGTTGAAGGGGAATTGGAAACAAAAAACATTAAGTACTCCTGAGTATTAGAACTCCACATTATTAAAAATGTGTTCCTTCTACCACAGTCAGAGACAGAAAGAAATACCCTAAGAACACAATGTAATCAAACAACCTCCCCAAGCATGTCCCTTCTCCCCAATCTCCTGGAATTTGCAAATGAGTGGCACCCTAGAAATAATAAAGGCCTGCCAAGAAGCAAACTGTCTGTTCTTACAGCCTGTGGCTCTGATAACACATAATAATAACCCTGATCTTATTCCTATTACTATGTAAAGTTGGCCTTACATCAGGCAGCCTTTGTAATGATTTGGGGGGCGTTATTTTAGGCTAACACATTTAGCCTAAAATAATACACTTTTGAATAATGTTGTTCCTTAATTAGAGATTTGTTCCTTCGCCTTAAATAGCCTTGTTAGAAAAAGAAAAACAAAACCTTGTTCCTGTTCAAATGGAAAAAGAACAAGAACAATTACTACCACCACCATCCTAGGAAAGAAAATAAAATTTCTCTCACCACTGACCTTCTAATTGCCAAAGTCAATAGATTCTTCTCAGTAATTACATACCTTACTTAGTATCTCAGATACTCCTCCTCATCCGAAAATGTTTTCCTCCTTTCGGTTTCTAGGATATCTAGTTCTGGTTCTTGTACTGTCTCTCTGACCACTCCTTCACTGAATCTTCCAAACTCCTTATCAGCCACCCATTCCTTAGACATTTTTGTGCCACCATGGTTCTACCCTTAGTTTACGTCTCAGGCTACACAGTTTCCCTTAGTGGTATCATTTATGCCTAGAAAATTATCACTAGGTAATAAAATATTTCATTTTAAATTAACACGTATATGTGTATATGTGGGTGTAACACATGAAACATACTCAAAGCCAGAACTTATTTATTTCCCCCACTCCTATTCCCAAACCTGTTCTTCCTCCTGTATGACGGATTTACCGTTCAAGTCACCCAAGTCAGATTTAGGAATCATCCCTGACCTTGGAGAGCTAGGCACTTCCCATTTTAGCTTCCTTATAATCTACTCCATACATACAGCATTTAGCACATTATTTGTCAGTCTTTCTATTAACCTGTGAGCAACTTAGGAGTTCAGAGTTGGTAAGGAGGAAGAGGTACTAATAGTTAACACTTCTATTGAGTACATACAATGTACCTTATGATAAACATTATAGGTATTCATAGAAGAACAGTAATGAGAGTCCTGGCCTTAAAATCCAGAAGGGAAAGATTACAAAGTACGCAAAGTACACAAAGTACTTTGATAGTTCAAAGAAAGGAGAGATAACTTATCTCAGAGGATGGAAGAAAATAAAAGACCCTGGGAGAAAAATATCAGCATACTCAAATTATACAATCTCTCCTACATTTTTATCTGTCTGTTTGAACTTTTCAGCTCATTAAGTCTGATGCTTGTAAAAGCACAACTCTCCTTCCTAGACTTCAATTCTAATGGGCCCAGAATTATAAAAACTGTGGCATAGGTTCATATCTTATAAGTAAACATGGTACTAGTGTTTATTACCTTCAGGTTTATTGGGGAAATCATAAAAAGCAAAGTTAACAGAAGTTTACCAGCTCACAGAGAAGTGGGCGGTTGACAGGGAGCTGAGACAAAGCCATGCAGACTGCGCATCGTGCTCACTGAGCAGGCTGGCTTCCTGCGGCAGTGATGAGGCCGAGGAGGCCTCAGCAGTCACACCCCTGTGTACGTCTGCTTCTGCTCCTAACTTTTTGACTGCTCTTTTTAAAATTGGGAAACGTAGTCTATCCCGGTTCATCCTTCTTGGTAAAGATTGTTGTGCCTCTTTTGGGTCCTTTACCTTTTCCTATAAACGTTGGGATCAGCTTGTCAGTTTTTGCAAAATCCCTGCTGGGATTTTGATAGGAATTGTATTGAATCTATAGATCAATTTGGAGAGAACTGCCATATAAATAATGTTGGGTCTTCCACTCCATAAACATGGAATGTTTTTCCATTTATTCAGATTTCCTTTAAATTTTCTCATCAATATTTTATAGTTTTTAGTGTACAAATCTTATACTTCTTTTGTTAAATTTATTCCTAAATTGTTTGCTCTGTGATTAGAACTGTATTCAAAATTTCACCTTTGGACTGTTCATTGCTAGTATATAGATATGCAATTGAGTTTTGCATGTTGATATTATATTGTGTAACTTTGCTGAACTTGTTTATTATAAAGTTCTAATAGTATTTTTATGTATTTCTTAGAAAGTTCTACATAGAAAATCGCCATCTGTGAATAAAAACAGTTTTACTTCTTCTTCTCCAATATCAATGCCTTTTGGTTCTTTTTCTTGATCTATCACGCTCACTAGATGCCCTAGTGCAGTGCTGAGAGCAGGTGGGGAGAGCAGACACCCTCGCCTTGTTCCTGATCTCAGGGGGAGGCACTCAGTCCTTCCCTGTTAAATGTGATGTTAGCTGTGGATTCTTCACAGATGCACTTTATTGGGTTGAGAAAGTTCCCTTTATTGGGTTCAGAAAGCTTCCTAGTTTGTTCAGAATTTTTATCATGGATGGGTGCTGAATTTGTGTCAAATACTTTTTAAAATCTATTGTTCTTTATTCTATTAATATGGTATATTCCATTTTCAGATGTTAAACCAACCTTGCATTGTGAGGTGAACCCCACTTGGTTGTGGAGTATAGTCCTTTTTATGTGTTGCTAGATTAAGTTTGCTACTTTTTGGTTGAAGATGTTTAAGTCTCTATTCATACGGGATATTGTTCTACAGTTTTCTTTTCTTGTAATGTCTTTGTCTGGATTTGGTATCAGCATAACACTGGTATCACAGAATGAGTTGGAAAGTATTCTTTCCTCCTTTATTTTCTGAAAAGAGTTTGTAAAGTATTAATAATATTTCTTTCTTAAATGTTTGTAAGATGCCTGCCCTTTTTAATATCTTTAATCTTTGTGTCCTTCATTGCATCTAGCATAGGGTTTTACTCCAAAAACATTGGGAATGAATTATACTATGCAAATCCATCCAAGAAATGGCTAAAATAGTATATAAACAATATCCTGAATTTCAACCAAAGGTACTTTGAAAATGGGAGAACACTATGAAAAACAATCTCAGCACTACTTTTAAGTTTAGGAAAGACAGAATATTTACTTACTAGGCAACAGCTCTCTATCAGCAGTCTCTGTGCAGCTGGGATAAGGGTAGAACAGATGGCCTTTCTCTAACGGGTATGGAATCATTCTAAAAGCTGAAGGAAAAAATACGTATGTTGATGTTCAATTCACACTTGTTTTCATCAAAGCTGTTCTAAAGACATTTTCATAAAATTTTCATGAAACATCTTATGTTTCATCTTTCTTAGAGACACATTTTCATAAAAGAAACAAGGTAAGCAAAAGAATGAATAAAAGGAAAAGTAGGGTTTGTTTAGAGAATAGTGAATGGTCAGGCTGAAATAAAATGGAGAGTACTGGATGACAAGACTGGCTGGGTCTTTCTGGCCTCGGTCTTCTCGGCACAAACACAACAGACTTTACTCTCTGAGTACAAATTCCACTTCCTACAGCAACTTCATAGAACTGCAACATGCATAACTGCTGTGGTCATACCGCTGGGGACTTAAAAGAGTCCTCGATGGCTTCTGACTTCACATGTGAGATGCCATCGTTTTCTATGAGCAAGGCTTAATTTAGATCAGAGCCACCAAAGCATAGCTCTTTGGCCAGAGCTGGCCCACTACTGGTTTTTGTAAATAAAACTGTATCAGAAGGCAGCCGTGCTTATTCATTATACATTCTGTGAAGCTGCTTCTGTGCTGCAGCAGTTGGGCAGTGCTGACGGAGACCGCGGCCTGTGAAGACGAGCTATCTTCCATCTGGCTCCACAGGGGAGTTTACCCACCCTTGATCTAGACTGTCACCAACTCTTACAGATTTTTAAAAAATTTTTATTTAATGATTTTTTTAGAGAGAGACAGACAGAGACAGAGGAAGGGAGGGACGGAGGTCACAGGAGGCGGGTGGAGAGAGAGAAACATAGATCCGTTACATTCGTTAGTTGTTCCTTGCATGTGCCCTGACCGAGGATCAAACCTACAACCTACACAGAGGTAGGTTTTGGGATGGCACTCTAACCAACTGAGCTACCCAAACAGAGCTTGCAGACTTCTTAAAGCAGGAATTCTTACTGATCTATCAAACTAGATAAAGAGTCTTTACAAGGATATGCTGCTCCTCACTGCTTGCTTTCTACAATTTCCAAAGAAGTTGCAAGGTTCCCCCTCCCATGAATGTATATAAAATGTTGTATAATCATTTGGTTCCATTAAAATTGGTTAACCTCCAAAAAATAAAAATAAAAAAAACTAGCTAAGTACTCATCAAAATTGTGGTAAGATTTTTGCTTTTGCTTTAATGCCTCTCTCTAAACTTCTATCAAAATATGGATTTTGTTCCACCACAGTAAAAAGTAATTATTTGTCCTAAGTCCCAGAGAAAATTAGTGATAACACTAGGAAATCATGCATTAACATGATCATTTAGGAAATATAATGTAAGTCATATACTTACTGAAAACCTCCGTCAGTGCTAGGCACTGAAGACAGACACTAGGTGAATGAGATAAGAGTACCCAGTTTTGAAGAGCTCACAGAACACTGGGAAAAAATCAGAATAAAGTCTAATAACCCAGACGCACAGCTCCTCAGCTTTAGTTGTCCCAGTTTCATCAATCTGCACAGCATCAGTGTCAAGCACAGTGCTTGACCCTGAAGCCAAAGGTTCTTATATTTTCTTGGTTCAAGGACACATAGTGTCCCCTTTCTGTCTCAGTAATTTTTTATGATGCCCGTAGGCTGAAAGAAATATCTCACAATTCCACTTATTAGGTAGTGGTTCCAAACAGCTTTAAATGTTTATGTTCTAGGAGTGTAGCAGTGATTTGAAAAAAAACACTTATAAATTAGAGGAAGAAATCATTTCATTCTAACTAACCACCATTCCTTAATAACAGGTACATGAGTCTGCTGAGAGACACACAACTTCTCAGACCTCGGAATGAGGTTGGACGGCGCTAGCTTCATTTCCTGTTCCACATTGGTTCTTGTGTGGTACTTCTTTTAATCACAAAAACTAACAAAGTCCCAGCTTTGCAAAGCTGTGACACAGGAAGAAACAGGGACTGGAGAGCCATCTAACTGTGAAACCATGAGCTACCTAGAATAATAGTCTGAGTGGTGTCTGACAGATGTTGATATTGCTGTTTCCAGTGAACATTAAAAAAACCCCATTTTGCTCTGTGAATACACTGCAATGCCCCCAAGGTGCCTTAGTGCAAACTTTGGGAACTGATGGGGTTAACCAATTGTAGTGATTGAGCAATGAATTTATTTTTGAATTTGTATGGATAGCAGAGGTGTGCTTCCCAAGAGAATTATTATAAGAGTCAACTGATAAAATATTTTGATTGAGCTTCTTAATTTTCTTAGTGATTTTAAAAAGTTACAAATAAGAGATCTAGTAGTTAGTCAAGGAACAGACCAGTTCTCCCAAGAAGATATACAAATGGCCAATAAGCACAATGACAGATGCTCAACAGCACTAATATTAAGGACATGCAAATCAAAACCACCATTAGACACCACTTCACACCCACCACTGGAATGGCTATCACTAAAAAACAAAATGAAACACAACAACACAGAAAATAACAAGTCTGAAGAGGACACAGAGAAAGGTAAATGCTCACTTCTAGTGGAACACACAATGGTACAACTGCTCTAGAAAACAGCATGGTGGTTCTTCAAAAAATTACACAAAGATTTTTCATGATCCATAAATTCCACTCTTGGGTACACATACCCAGGAGAATTGAAAGCAGGAACCTGGACAGGTGTTTGTACAGTCACGTTCATTGCAGCATTATCCACAGCAGTCAGAGGTGCAAACAAATACCCACTGACAGATGCATGTATCGATAAAATGTCGTATATACACATATGGAATATTATTCAACCTTAAAAAGGAAAGAAGTTCTGACACATGCTATAACATTATGCTAAGTGAAACAGGCCAGATATAAAAGGACAAATATCATCTGATTGCACTATATGAGATACCGAGAGGAGTCAAACTCATGCAGACAGAAAGTAGAATAATTACCAGGGAGAATGGGAAGAATGAGGAGTTACTGTTGAATGGGCCAGGAACTTCAGTTGGGGATAATGAAAAAGTTCTGGGGATGGATGCTGGTGATAGTTGTATAATAATGTGAATGTACTTAATGACACTGAACTGTCTACTTTAAAATGGTCAAAATGACAACTTGTATGTTATATGTACTTTACGACAATTAAAAAATTTTAAGAATAGAACTGATACTAGTTATGACCAAAGTAGTTTCATGTTATACACATCTGAAAATAAAACAAAATAGTCCAATTTAAAATATATTAGAATAGCACAACCACATTAAAAAGCTTATAAACCAAGGATTATTAGTTATCATTTTCTTTCCTTACAAATATGTAGTTTAAATGGACATATGGCAAAATACCATCAGTTTCTCATTCTCCTTTTCCTAAATGTGGCAGCAATATAAGCTCATTAAATATCTCTTCTACCAATAAACCAAGCATAACACCGCTGAGTTCACAATGAAACCAATCTGAACAGCAAATCCTTACAGAGACTCAGACAATCTCATTTAAAATTAAGACTGCCTGTGAGTGCAAGAATAGTCAGAGAGATCAGGGTTACATTTGGAAAAGAATACTCACTGCCTTCCCACGTGCACTGTAACAGATTAAGAGCGCCTTCTATCCGCTTCCAGTGCTGAAGATGAAAGAAAGCATAGGCAATTGCTTCACTGTCGCCCCGTTTCAGAATGTGTTCTGGAGGTAAAATTAGACTCTTCATCTCTAATAAATACTAAAACACACACACACACACACATAGACATATCACAGAAAAAAAAGAAAAATTAAATTGTGTTAAATTCAAACATCCACAAAAATGTAGATTCAAATTTTATGAAGCCACAAACATTAAACTAGTTGAAATGACTTTCAAGATCCTATTGATAAATGTGTATAAAATGCTTTCTATGCAAATTCCAAGGGCAAGAATATTTCTATAGGTAACAATATGGTGATAAGTGGCTTATATCTAAACTGGCTAAACACAAAATGGAAACTCAAGCTGAAGTAATATGTGAGAGCAAACATTTATTTTTCCGAAAACTAATTAAGTGTAAAATTATAGAATTTCATTTTGTAACAACACTTTGTGGCAACATTCAATTATTTTTTTCCTTCCCATTGACAAGGGATGGAACTTAATTGTGAAGAAGTTTAATTAAATTAATATTTATGGAGAGCAAAACACTTGCTTGTTATATAATACCAAAAACACTTTTTTGGGGAACTTTATAATGCAGTGAGAAAAATGGAGTTCTTAAATTAATAATTATAACCAGACTGTTATACCTATTAGAGGTATATCAGTGCATATAGGGATAGGAAGTACTAAAGTTTTAATTTAATTTTTTATAATAGCTTTATTGAGATATAATTTACATACTTCACAATTCACCCACTCACAATACACGAGTCAATGGTTTTCAGTATATTCACAGACATGGGCAACCATCAGCACAGCCATCTGAGAGCATTCCATCGCCTCGGAAGGAAACCCCTGCACTCTTCAGTTATCACCCCCTGCTCCACCATTCCCCCTAAGCCCTAGGCAACCAGTGATCTGCTTCCTGCCTCTATAGATTTGCCTACTCTGGATATTTCACACAAACGGAATCGCATAATAGATGGTCTTTTGTAGCTGGTTTCTTTCACTTAGCAAACTGTTTTCAAGGCATATCCACGTTGCAGCACGTATCTGTGCCTCGTTCCTCTTCGTGGCTGAATAATATTCCATTGTATGCATGTAACACATTAGTTTACCCAGTTATCATTTGATGGCTATTTGAATAATGCTGCAAAAATATCCATGTGCCAGTATTTATGTGAACATTTGTTTTCATCTCTCTTGGTTGTATACCTGGAGTGGAGCTGCTGGGTCATATGGTAACTCTACGTTTAGGAGGTATTAATTCTGCTTAAGGGGCTGAAAATAAACCTCTCGATGGAATTTGGGATTTGAGCTGATATACAGAGATGGATGGAATGTGGATGAGCGGATTGGGGGTGGGTGGAGGAAAGAACAAGAGGACATATTCAAAGTACAGGGACAACATGAACAAAGGCACTGAGCCAAGAGAACAAGATGCATTTAAGGGATTAGTGGGTGTGCTTGTTAAAGAAACTATAGCCTATCAATTCTTACTCACAGATGAAATTAAATTCTGTCTTAAATTCTTCAAGAAAATACTTGCCTTAATATTAAAATCCATAACAAAAACAGTGTAGTCACACTTACCACACTAATTAAATGTACTAATTACATGAAGATGCAAAGTTAATCACTTGTACATCATCTTTACTATTAAAGTACCCAACTTAAAAAAAATCTTTTAAAAATTGTATTTAGCTGAATATTTCCTGCAAACACTTCCCCTACTAAAATAAGTTTGAAATGACCTCTTTGGTTCTAAATGATGTGATACCAAATTATGTGTCATACGATCCAAACCACATTAACTTGTTATAGAATATAAAAAGAGAAACATCCCAGAGGTGTCTCAAAAGATATATTTTCACATTTCAAATTCTAAATTCCTCAGATTGTTACACAAACTGAGATAAACCACATAAATTAAATAGTTGAATTTGTAAAACTGCTACAAGCAGGAAGAATCTTAAAAACAAAAGACGTGCAGTGGTTTCAGTATTTAAGCCTTAGGTGATTAATCAATACGTATGGACATATCATATTATTATACGTAAAATCGTTGTTCTTATGAAATGTGTCTTTCCAGCATGTACTGACCTTAACACCCACCTTTGACGACTCTTACTCCTACACCTCAATAAAGCTAAAGTTTAGGAAAAAAGAATTAATGTTAGTCTTCATGTTTCTGGCTCTCTCCTCAAAGTGTAAGAATGCAATCTGCTCATCAATTTATTTTAGCAGATGTCACAAGCTATGAGATTATTTACTAATCCAGTTTGGGGACTTAACATTTCCCATTCAGTTTCTTAAAGGAATGCAGCAGAGGTTGTGTCCTGGTCAAGCAAAGCCCATTTGCTGCCTGGTTGGGTTTTCTCCCCTCAGTGCCTTGGGCCTATATTCAGGAGGGTCATATTCTTTCTAATCCTCTCTAATCCTTGCCCATTTTTTAAAACACAGTAAAAGATCACTCGCACCAGGCAGCTGTGGGAAAATGGACTCAAATAGCTGACCTCTGACATGACTCCTTATGTTCCTTGCAAGTGCATGAAGAGCTTCTTCAGTAGGAAGCAAAGAAAATGCAGCCATCGCAGTGAAATCTCCATCACCAGAAAGAGTCCCTCAGTTTCAGAAGAAAGCTTTTTAACATTTAAACCAACTCATTTCTATTAAAATTCTGCCTCACCTTACAGATAGGGAAGACAAAATATACCAAATTCTTTTCAATGAGTTTTAGAACCAGAAAGCTTTAAACTAGTTTGTAGCCACTTAGCAAATGCTAAGCAAAGATATTCAGTTAACAACTATTCAAAAGAACTTACAGAAAATGTCAACTTAATATGTCAAGAAAATAACTTTTTGAATAGCAAGTATACATATATATTTTTCATTGTTTAATAAACTGTGACAATTCAGATAGTAATCAGACAAACATGGCACACTTATTAGGAAATGATACTTCAGGAGTTTATATGTAAAAATCTTTGTTATTTAATCATTAATAAATCTTCCTGCCCTGGCTGGTGTAGCTCAGTGGATTGAGCGCGGGCCAATGAACCAGAGTATAGTGGTTTGATTCCCAGTCAGGGCACATGCCTAGATTGCAGGCCAGTTCCCAGCAGGGGATGCACGAGAGGCAACCATACATTGATATTTCTCCCTCTCTCTTTCCCTTCCCCTCTAAAGATAAATAAATAAAATGTTTATAAATCAATCAATCAATCTTCCTTAGGCCACCTTAATATTTTATTATCATGTCTTACCTACCACCAAATGTCCTTTCCAAAATGATTTTAAAACAATGCAAATCTTATTTTTCAGTTTCTAATAAAGCACTAAAATAAAATTTCACTCTCAAAATATAGGAAAAATGTTCAGTTTGAGGAAATGTATTTAAAGAAGGTTATTATAGGTAATTGTGACTTATTTTATCATATTCACAAACTGCTATGCAAGAATTTCTGCTCCCCAGCATACGCTGTAAGTTGTTAGCACACAATGGAAACGATATCCTTCATATTCTACTGCCGCACCTAGCACATTATACTACCCAGAGCAGGCACTAAAGTACTTCAAACTGGCCTGATCTGATGTATATAGCTAACTTGTCTCCAAACTCATACTTCTATTTCAGTTTCTACTTAAAGATGATTTCTAAATCTCTGTGCAAACTAAAAACAAAACGAAACAAAATAAAGTCTGCTACCCAGACTTCACTTTTCTATGAAGAAGAATATGAAAGGTCGAAAACTAGGGTGGTTGGTTTTGTTTTGTCTTTTTTTTCCTGCTTACAAAAATGCAAACACTGCAGAGTTACATAGTAGAAAATAATATATTACAAGATTAGAGAATAAAAGAATAAAGGAAATAAAGATAATCTGATTTATATTTTTTGATATTTCCTTATGTATAACATACCAACTCTTTTCCTTAAAAATAGGATCAAACTGTCATGCAACTAACTTTTTACTTCACAATACATCTTAGGAATAGATTTTTTCCTGTCTCTAACAGGAAAAATAGGTCTAACACACCATTTTTAATGGTTGCATAGTATTCCATTAAATGTTGAGTTATTTTATAAGCTGAGAAGTGAGGTCATGCTGGAAGTTTACTACCATCCTTAAAAGGTCAAAGATGATATAATTAAGCAAAACTCATAAAAACAGTAAAATAAATGGGACACAAAATTTTATATGTAAAAGTTATAAAGAAAAGTAAAATAGTAAAAATAGTCAAAACTCATAAAAGCGAGTAAAACAGCTTAAAAGTTGGTAAAAATAATGGGGTCCAAAATTTTACCTTCTCTAATTTAGACAGGCCTTTATTGCAATGCGGATCAAAACTAAAGACATGTCTATTTACCAAACACTCACTGAATGCCTGTTTTGTGCTAGGCAGAGTATCAGACATAAAATGATGAGTAAGCCAACAGCTCTTTTTAAAAGGCTTACAGGAAACGAAAGGAAGGACATACAAACAGACAAAAAAAAATATGATTAAGGTACTGAAGGAACAGGGAAGAGAGAGCCATTCCCTATGCTTGGGAAAAGTGGAAAACACACTTTTAAAGGAGGCAACAGATGATCAGGGTCTTGAAGAAGGAGCAGAAACTTGACGGGTACAGAAGAGATTGGGCATATGTACAAAGGTAGGGAGACATGATGAGCTGGGACCAATTCAGGATGCAGTAGTGCTGGAGATAAGGAACAAAGCAGATGTGGCAATGAGTAAGGCTGGAGACAGACACTGGGCCCAGACAGGGAAGGGCTTCCATATGTGCAATATTAAGGGATTGATCCTTATCTCACAGGCCACAGGGAACAAGCAGAGCTATTTTAGCAGGATAAGATTTGCTGTTTAGGCAGATAACTCTGGCAATGACCAGAGTGGAGAGTGGTTGATGGCAGAGAGACCAGTGAGGAATCTGTTTTAATAGTCCAAGCAAGAGACAGTAAACACATCTATATGTTTAGAAATGCATTGAAAATGTCTGGCAATAGCCCTGACTGTGTGGCTTAGTCAGTTGGGTGGTGCCGCACAAAGTGAAAGGTCACTGGTTCTATTCAGGTCAGGGCACATGCCTG